GCTCTCCTAGCACGATGAATCAGAAAGAGCATTCGGCTAACGAATCTGACATAATGACTGAAGCAGCAGATGCTCAGGTGCGTCACCTCAAAGACCTGCTCATCCGTGCAAAAGTGTACATCTCCCTTCCAGCCATCAAAGCAACCCACGTGCTACAAGGGAGCTTCGAGGGCGGATTAAGGAAGTTTCATGTGCACTTGGTGATGCATCCAAGGATAGTGATCTGCCAAGAAAGTAACATATTTCTGAAATAAGGCTGTTGCTTGTATTTTATCATTACTATTTAAAATTTCTTTCAAGTCTTCAAAGGATTTTAAGTGTGGAACAAGGTTTCAAATCGCGGTCACGGTCGCGTTTTCGGTCATTTCGGGTTTCCTGTGACTGTGGCCATCGCGGGCGCTATTAGGTGCTATTGCGGGTGTAGCGGGCAACTCGGACGGCGGCGAAACCGTTATTTCGCGAACGAAATCACATTTTCGGACCGTGATTTGAAACCCTGGTGTGGAATGCGGCTTCCAAATTGCTCTAATCTGTTACCATGGATCTTATTTTTGCAGTGCCTTCGATAAGTTGAAAGCAATGGAGCAATCGCTAGAAAAATGTCAGCACATTCAAGATAAATGTGATGCTCTAGTAAAAAGACTTCGGGCTATGCTACACTCAACTGAAGAGCTACTCCGAGTGCACAGAAAAATGACCACGGTCTTGGCACAATTAACTGCAAAAACCCTTCCCAAGGGTCTTCATTGCCTGCCTTTGCGGCTAACTACCGAGTATTATACCTTGAATTCTTCACAACAGAAATTTTTAGATGAAGAGAAATTAGAAGACCCTCGACTGTATCATTACGCACTATTCTCTGATAATCTATTAGCAGCTGCTGTTGTTGTAAACTCAACTCTTTCCCATGCCAAGGTAAATGAACTCTCCTATTGAGGCTTAACTCGTACTTTCTTCAGCTGCCAGTGGAAAGGGAAATGGTTTTGCTTTTAATCTTAAGATTGCCATCATCATTTTGTTCTTGACATTCATCCTTCTTGGAAAGTGACTGTTTGAGCATGCAAGTGTTTGTGGGATCAAAACAAATTGATATGTACGTAATGACATTTTAACCACCTGATTTTGGTTGATATATTTATCTCATTATGCTTGCTTAATTCCTTGCAGCACCCTTCAAAACATGTTTTCCACATTGTTACGGATAGGCTTAATTATGCAGCAATGAGGATGTGGTTTCTACCTAATTCACTGGGGAAAGCCGCTATACAGGTTCAGAACATTGAAGAATTTTCATGGTTAAACTCAAGCTACAGTCCAGTCCTTAAGCAGCTAGGTTCTGCTTCAGTCTCCGATTATTACTTCAGGGCACAACGGGTTAATTCTTTATTCAAATCTGAAGTTCTGAAACCCAAAATACTTGTCCATCCTCAACCATCTTCGGTTTTATCAACTAGAGATATTCCCAAAACACAATAAAGTGTTGTTCCTAGACGATGATGTAGCAGTCCAGAAGGACCTTAGTGATCTGTGGTCCCTCAATTTGAGGGGCTATGTTAATGGTGCTGTTGAGACTTGTGGAGAAAGCTTCCATCGATTTGATCGGTATCTAAACTTCTCAAATCCTATAATCTCAAAGAACTTTGACCGACATGCTTGTGGTTGGGCATATGGAATGAATATTTTTGATTTAGCGGAGTGGAGGCGGCAGAACATAACAGGCCTATATCATAGGTGGCAGAAGCTGGTAAGTGATGTATAAATCCTAGCTAAACAGATTATAAGATAGACATTAAAGTTCCATAGAAATTGTATGCTTTTTAACATTTTCAAGGAAAATTTGTTTGTAGAACCATGACAGGCGATTGTGGAAGTTGGGTACCCTGCCTTCTGGTCCCGTAACATTTTGGAAACGCACTTATACCTTCCATAAATCTTGGCACGTGCTTGGGCTTGGCTACAATCCTAATGTCAACAAGAGGGAGATCGAACAAGCTGTTGTTATCCACTACAATGGCAATTTGAAACCATGGTTGGACATAGGCATGCCCAAGTATAAAAACTATTGGGCAAAGTATGTAGATTATGATCATATCTTTTTGCGAGATCTCAACATCAACCCGTAGAAAGCCTTCCTTGCAACGTGATTGTTTTTGAAGTTTTGTGGTGACCAGTGTTAGCTATACATCAGTTTGTAGGCTTTTCGAATTCATTCTTTCTTGTACACAGTCGATTGTAGTTTTGTTTTGTTTTCCTTTTGGTTTCTTGTCGCACTGATCGGTAATCAAGCCACCGTATTTGTGTGGGCGTTGCAAGCAGCACTGTATGACTATAATTAGCTACGTATGAATATGCTCTGTGGCTCTCAACTTTACATACTCACCCTCGTGGCTGAACGTCTTTCTCATTTGTATTTCTTCGGCTCGCTTACCAGCACACCATGCAAAAAGCCTTGTAACGGAATCTGCTTCTTCATCGTTTACGTGGGAGTGTGATATCATATGAGGATTAAAGAATTAGGTCGCCGTGGCAATGTCAAGAAGCAAAGAAACTGTTCGACGAAATGGCTCACTGTTTACAGGACGCTGCTTCTTATGCTTCCACGATCACTGTTTATTTGAAAAAAATAATCTTCCAAAAGCAGAGTCGCTGTATTACTCCTTGCCCTATAGAAACATTTTTTGCTGAATCTGCAATGATCCATGCTACGTGAAGGTCTGCGTCTAACTGAAGCTCGTCAGCTGTTCATGCGACGTGAAGGTCTGCATCTAACTGAAGCTCGTCAACTATTCGATGGCATGGTTGACAGAAATGGCTTCTCCTTGAAGAGAATGTTATGCTTTTTGTGCAAAGACCCAACTCTGTGAAAATGTGGTATCTTGGACAACTGTGGTTTTGAGTTATGCACGTAATGGTTTGATTCATGAAGCTCGCCACATATTTGACAGAATTCCCGAGAAAAACATCGTTGTTTGGACTGTTATGCTTAAGGCTTATGTTGACAATGACCGGATTGATGATGCGTTTAGATTCTTCTACCAAATGCCTCAAAGGTTCCTGTATTCTTGGAATATCATAATTTCAGCCTGTTTAAAGGTTAATAGTCTATGAAGCAATTCAGTTATCTGATTCTACGCCTAAAGAAAAAAAATGATATCTTGGACAAGTATGGTTTCACGTCTGGCAAGGAACGGGATGACAAAACAGGCTAGGGAATATTTTGATCAGATGCCAGTAAGCAAAGACATAGCAGCTTTGAATGCCATGATAACGGCATACATTGATGAAGGGGAAATGGCTAAAGCTAGTGAGCTATTTCATACAATGCCTACTAAGAACAGTGTCTTGTAATGCCATGATTGTTGGTCATTCAAAAAAAAAATGGGCTTAAAGGTGAAAGCTTTTAGTAACTTGATCCTCATGCTTCGTTCTGGATTCGTGCCTAATGAGATTGACATATTTTGATCAGATGCCAGTAAGCAAAGACATAGCAGCTTGAATGCCATGATAACGGCATACATTGATGAAGGGGAAATGGCTAAAGCTAGTGAGCTATTTCATACAATGCCTACTAAGAACAGTGTCTTGTAATGCCATGATTGTTGGTCATTCAAAAAAAAAATGGGCTTAAAGGTGAAAGCTTTTAGTAACTTGATCCTCATGCTTCGTTCTGGATTCGTGCCTAATGAGATTGACATCACTAGCATGTTGATCGCCTGCGATAGCGTTTCAGAGCTTGGGCAAATTTATGCTTTTGTTTTCCATTTAGCGTTTGAGTATGGCACTTCACTTACTAACACCCTTATTGCGGCATATTCAAGAACAGGGGATCTAGATTCGGCTAGGCTTGCTTTTTAATGTCTCAAGGCCAAGGACCTTGCATCGTGGAATGCCATGATATTAGCATATTCGCGCCATGCATATGGAAGTCACGCATTATATGTTTTTGCACGCATGCTAACCTCAGGTGCCAAACCCAGATGATATCACTTTTGGAGGAGTGTTATCAGCCTGCAGTCGGGCTGGTCTGTACAGAAAGGTCAAAGGCTATTTCATTCAACTCACACATATGGTTTACATTCCAGGGCTGTGGACATCCTAGGTCGAGCAAGACAACTGGACAAGACCATGTGTGTTGTCAAGCAAATGCCTCCATGCAGAAGAAACGGTGTGATTTTTGGAGCATTGCTTGCTGCATGCATATTGCATGGGTGATAAAATAGCATATCACATTGACAAACGGTTGATTGAGCTAGAGCCCACTGATTCTGGTGTCTACGTTCTCTTGGTTGATGTATTTGCCAGAGTAAAGAACATAACGAGGGAGAGGAAACTGAAGAAACTTGCTGATGTTAGTCAAGTAGAAGTAATCAGAGTCACGTATTCTTTGCAGGATACAATTCTCATCCTCAACTTGAAAGGATCTATGAAATGCTGTCTTATGTATTAACACCTCGCACAACCGAGGTGGGTTACATTCGACGAAATTCACCATCCAAATATACCTTAAATTAGCGTAGTTAATTTGTGAGAAACTGAAGGAAAATGGAGTTATTTCATATTGGTTTTGGTTCATGAAGCAATCTGGTTGGTATACATTGAAAGGCAATGAAGGTACAATAGAAAAATCTAAGAATATAGATAAGTCTTAAAATTCATCATCACTGTAGGCGTCGTATGATGATTGACGGTGTAAAACTAACGAAATATGATTGATTCATGGGATGGGGGAAAACAGAGGAACAAACCAAGTGAATATGGAGATCCTTACTTCCCCCGCTTAATTATCTGGCTTGATTCATGTGAGCATTGTCATGTTGCTGTTGCGAACACTATTCCAGCAAGCCAAACAACTATTGCAGATATCATAATTCAAAAGGTCAAAAATCTTAAATAACTCATTATTTAACTCGGCCTACGTGTCTAATGAAAAAAAACACTGTTTTGCTAGATTGTTAGAATTTGAGTGGAACTTTACTAGGAAAAAGAACACATAAATACTTGGACAACTGTTCAATCTAAATACTGCATTTATACATTTATCAAAGTAAAGCTTGGAAATCTGCATAATTTTGCTTCAAGTTTAAAATGACTTGAACACTTTGCACTGAAAACAATAGAAACAAGAGAGAAAATACAACAGTTTAATGTTACTGGGGCGACTCATGTGGAACGATTCCTCCGGTGATTAACTCGTCTCAAGATGCAAAGGCGTAGTCGTTTACTAAGGGCTTCTAGCTTTTCAAGCTTCTCGTGCTTGGGCTTTGGGGTTATTGAAGCTTTTTTCTTCTTATTCTTATTTTTCTTCTTTTCCTCTTTTGGTGGATCACACGATTTTTGAGCCATGCTTTTAAGCGGTGTTGCAAGCACGTTAAGAGTCGCCTAATGAGACAGGGCCCATTTTCAGTAAGAAAAAACCGTAAATAGGCAGGACCTACCCCATTCAAGTTAAAATAAAATATAAATCATGCAGCAAACAAAAGCTTGGAACTTATTCTCAAGATCTCTTATGTTAATATGTCCTGCATGCATTCTTCTTGATCGACTTAAAACAGTTTAAAATCTAACAGCCTGTTTTATGCATTATGCAGATGAAGGTAAGCCTTCATCATTCCATGGTGAAGATTACGATTGCCATAAGCAGGGTTAGAGGTAGAGACAGAGACATAGAGGAACCTCATTTCTATTATCAGCAGTTGTACAATCCGCTGAAGAGTCTTCATCACTGCCCCCTAGTGAAGAGCATCTTCCCCAACTTTCTCTGTTTGAGCTGGTATATGAACAACATTCGTCACTTTGGCCATTGGGCTTATCCTGTAAATCATAAGGCAAAATTCTCTAATGAAACAAAGTATGAACAGCAGAAAACAATAATTTCATAGATTAGTTCACACGCTTTGTTGCCGGTTCAGAAATCATATTCAGTAACATGCAATAGCCACACTGGAGGTGGAGTCATAAGTGCAGAGTGAATCTATCATTAAATATAAATCATGGCAGTTTCTCAGGGCTAATTGAAAGTACGTCAAGCAGGAACTGAATAAACTAAACTACCAAGTCTTACCCGTAAAAAGAATAAAACATGTGTATATGCAGACAGACACAGAGTTAATCACTAGAGAAGATGATCAGAGGAATTTCATGGATACCTGTAAATTTGATTGTTCGTCACTGTCAGGTCTATTGTTCCTAGCAACAATGGAATCCTGCAATTATAAGAAACAACAAATTATTAAAGTACATAAATAATTTGATTATTAGTCTTATAAGCAGACAAATACCAAACACAAAGTGGAATGGAATACTACCAATGTAGTTAGCGGTGCAACTTCTGAGATCAGTTCATTTACGGGCTTAGTCATCAAAACGCTAGGTGCAGCAGAAGATGAACTTGCAGCATTGGTTGGCTCAGTTTCAATGCCAGTGATTGTTTCATACAACAGAATCTAAAAAAAATTACATAAAATTCATGTTAAATATTTGGTAGGTATGTATCCCCATATTCCTGTTTCTACAAAAGCTTTTACACATGTATCACCAAATACCAGGGGGTCAGATCATCTTAACAAATAGATATATCACGGACGTGACACAAACACCAATCAAAAGGATACTCATCTTTTACTCTCAAACTACTTTCTTAAAAGCTGACATGAAAAGAAATTCACCTCATCCATGCCAGCACCAACTTTCATATCACCAAGGTCAAAGTATTTTTCAAGTTTACTTGAACAAGCAGAAGAGATCTGAGGAGGACGAAGCACGTTGAAGAAGAAAATGGAGACTGAATCATAATAAAACTGTGGCCTGGAGGAGTTATGATCACCGTCAAATTTTATAACGTTTTTATCCCCCTGCATAGAATATGCTTGATAAACACTTCCGGTATCAGCCAAAACAGGATATGTTTGGTTCATGGAATATAAGATTAAGGAATAAGATTACAATATTTGGTTAAGGGATGTAAGATTACCAAGGAGTGCATTTTACTAAATTGTCCTTGTTATAGAATTTGTTTTTTTTAATGAAATCAATTCTTTTAATATTTTGGCATATTTGAATTTATAAAAAAGTTGCCCATAATCTTAAATTTTGGCCTGCGCGTAACATTCCCAAACCAAACACCATAATCTTATATTGGAATCAAAGATTACGCCTTGGAATCTTAAATAACAAGAACCAAATGCCACAAGAAAATGTAAGAATTTTCAAATGGTAAAAGGGATGTAAGATTTACCAAGAAGAAAATATTGGAATCAAAGATTATGCCTTGGAATCTTAAATAACAAGAACCAAATGCCACAAGAAAATGTAAGAATTTTCAATTGGTAAATTACCACATATGAATTAAATACGAGGTCAGAGTGATTAGGTTGAATAAATTTGTCCTCACTGGCATGTCCAAATAATGCTGGAATGAATGTTTTGGGTGCTACCTGTTAATCAAAGTCTAGAATGTTAGTTAAAATAATTAGCAGTTGGAAAAGAAACAAACTCCGCATGAAATGAAAAAAAAATCTGTCAATATAAGTATATCAGATCTGGAAAGGTTTTAACGTTAGGAAGACGAAGTATGAAAAAAATTAATCAACTCGCTAACTTGTGTTCAACTTGTGAAAACCAACCAGATTATTAAAATGGACAAACCTTCAGACAATTTAGATCCATAATGTCAAACTTTGCCTTCTTCTGAATTACACGCCTCATGTACTGCACAGCCATCTTAACCTAATTGAAATAGAACGCAGGAAATACAATTTATTGCAATATTAAAAACATCTACACAAAGAAAATACAAACAGCAATGAACCCCATTGTGATTCACATATCATGACCAATAAAGTATTGATAATTACTGTTTAGTACCACCAAGACCAGCATCAATATACCCCGTTTTGGAAAAAGCAGCACATTGGCACTATTTATCACAACTCACATCTGGTATTGAGGTGCAGTGGCATTTTCTGACCATACCAACTGACTAAATTTGGACATTTCAACTGGACCACTCTTTCCACTTCCATTGGTGGCCATAATAGAGGAGGGGGATTAATATGAAATCATGCATCTCATGTTTAGCCCAATTATTTGCTTTTTTCAGAGCGTGCATTTCATCCTGTGCTTATTAGTTAATAAGCAACATGTGACATCTTCACAGGGTATATAATTGGTCTAACATGCCAGTTTGCTTTTAAAAGCTCACACTTAAGCTAACAGAGCTGCAAGAAAAGATTTGTACCGTGAATTTAGGAAGCCTGATTTTATACACATCAACAAGCTCCATCATAAGATCAAATAGGTTTGAGAAGGCACTGTCCAACACCATTCCTGCTATTGAAGGGTCTTCTGCTCCATAAAGAAGGCTGCATCAAATAACAAAGAGAGAAACCTAACACACTAGTAAGTATAGTTTTCCTAGGAAGAAACAAAATAAAAATCTGAGAAGCAACATCAAGAGAAAAAGCGTTCAAAACATCCAGAAACAAGGGCTTTCAAACACATCCTGTTTAAGAAAGCAAAGGGTGTCTGAAAATGCAATAAACTGAGAGGTGAAAGCATGAAGCACCTGGTGACAGCACCCATTGATCGTCCCCAGAGACCTATACGAGATATTTGTCTTTCACTTCTCAAATATGATACCACAATCTTGAGATCGTCTCTCTGTCAAAGAGTTTTAAAAATGGTAAAGAAAAATATAAAAAGACAAAAGAATACATCAATGGTCATCAAACTTGGATAACAGAGGCACTCAACTAGATCGAGCACATACCTCGTGCCACCCTAGGCTAACATAATCACCATCAGATAAGCCTGATCCCGAGAAATCAAGTGTGAATACAGTAATATTTGATGGGAGAAGAATTACAGCAGCTTCATTGGCATCCGCTCTACATCCACTGTGATATCATCCACAGGAGAAAAAAACAGAGTGTGAAAATTTACCTCTCTTTTTATGCTACGCAAATCTTTGGTAATGTTTCAAAACAATTCCTTGCTGAGGCGCAATACCATCTAAAAACTGTTTATAACTACAATGTAGATTTAAGCAGAATTTATGGAAAGAGTTCCATACCTGTTTCCATGGCAGTATATAACACAAGGGAGTGGAGTTTCTTCAGGAAATGATGAAGGCACGTAATGACTACAACGCAGCTTATGGCCCCTTGCATTTGTAAGCTGTATACATTTGAAATAGATAATCTAACATGTTCCAAGAAGCTAACATAAAGCGCAGAGGTGATAAATAGGAAAAAAAGAGATAAAAAGGGAGAAAGGTGGCTAATTAAAGTCCATACTTGCCTCCAAATCATGTCTTTTGTATTGCCTGCCAGCAAGAGTAAACTCCTTTTCCCAAAGATACTGATCTGGGTTATAATCAGCCCTGCATGTACACATGGCAAAAGTATAAAAGATATTAAACTTAAGGGAAGATCAACGTCCGGAGCAGCAGTGCAGCCATTACAGGTTACAAGTACTAAAAAATGCCAAATAATGAAAAAAGAGGAGTTGCAAATCAACAAATGAGATGAGGGCAGAAATAAGTGGCTAAGACAGCTCCTGCCTCCTGAACATGTATGCATCATTCTCATGCTATAGCTTTGTCTTTTCAAAACAGTCACGAAGCAAAATTGTAGTTTGGTTAGAAAAACTAATACTACTTTTCTTTGCACTGGAAAATTTAGGGTCACGAGCAGGGTCGATCCAGCTTTAAGAGATGAGAATGGAATTAGGGCGGAATATTGTAACAGAGAGATACCTTGGAGGTCGAATAACAAAATTGATGAATTGATCAATCATCTTGCTAGTAGTGAGCTTTTGAATGTGAATATACAGAAGAGTGTAATTACTCCAGCGCAATGTATCAACAGTTCCAAAATTCACTTTTTCAACATTTTTTGTTGGCTCCAATTCAACTATTTCTATCTACCTCTCTCTCGCTTTATGAAGGAGAGCACAGAAGAAGCTTCCTTCTTTTAGTGGAACAGATGGGGCAATAGAAACAGAGGCGTCTTTTAAAATCCGTACATCAAATTATAAATTTGAAGTACCACAGCGAGATATGGGCAGCAGAATGTTTCCTCAACATCGTCACGAAGCGTTCAACTTCCCGTGTCGAGAAAAAAATTTAAACATTGAGCTGAATGTGAGCTGTTTGGCAACTAAACAAATAATAACAATTAATACCAAAAAAGAACTGAAGAAACACAAAGCTCGTTCAAGAGCTTTCCTTTCCAGATCTACAGCGGCTACACTTTTGGACTGAACTTTTTACCTGCTTCTTTGGAAGAGTTATCAAGAAAAAAAAAGAAAAATGAAGTGGAAGAAATTTGATTCCAGATCCCAGAAAAAGGGAAACGAACTTTTCAAAAGAAGGTGGAAGAAAAAGTCAAACAGGAGGGAAATTTCTTCCGAAAAAGAGAGAAGAGGTCGAAGAGCTTACAGGTTTTGGTGTATTGTTGGCGGCCGATAACGGAGGGGGCGACCAGCAGGTGGTAAAGAACAAGCAAGCACAGCTCAGTGACAGACAGAGACAGAGACAGGCAGAGAGAGAGAGAGAGCTGTTTCACAAGTATTTGGGTAAACTACAGTCTTTTGTTTTGGGTTAACTATATAATTGATTACTTTGATTTATGTTATCTTTATTTTTCTTCACTAATTTAAAATTAATAATATATAATTATAGTTAACGTGGTTTAATTATCGTTACATTTTTATTGAAATATTGATATGTCATAACAAATATATAAAATTAAAAAAGGTAAATGATACAAATAATCACTAATATTTAAATAAATTTTTATTTTTCTATTGAAATTTTTAAAATAACACATTGATTGACACCATTTTGCGATATAAGTCTCCCTAAGCGGTTTCTTCATCCCTACTCCATACCACCCATTAATAGAAGAATCATAGGGAATTATTTGATTTTTAGTTACCAATTTATTATTTTTAAAATTTCAATATGGAAAAAAAATTCAAACATTAGTGATCATTTGTGTAGTTTACCGTTTTAAATTTTATATATTCATTGTGATCTATTAAAAAGACAGTTAATTATCGGTGACCACATCTTAATTAAATAAAAACGAGTGTGATCAAATATTATGTTTTTTTGAAATCAATAAGGAAAAGTGGATAAAACATAAACAAAAATATCAATCATCTAATTAATCCTATTTTTTATTATTTATTTTGAAAAAGTTACGTTATAGTCACCTTTGTTTTTAAAGCTCTTATTTTAGTCATTGGGCCATTAATTCTTGCTAAAATATTAATTTTATCCTTTAATTTTGATAAAATATTAATTTAACCCTTAAATTCAATTAAAGTATCTATTGTCAGTCGTTATTCATCATCGTTACCAGTCACAATCAATTATCATCATTAGTTGTTGTCTATGATCGTTGGATCCTAAAATTTTTAGTACATCCTAAAATTTTTAGTACACTTCCTTTTTACCTTATGAACCCGAATCTAATGTCAATTTCATTGAAAACAATTACTTTAAACTTCGAAAGCCGAGTCTAAAACTATTTAAATTCATTTAAAAATAAACTGCAATAATAAATATATCATTATACTCCTTTAAAAGTAAAAATAAGTTGGTCAAATTGATATTTTATCTAAATTTTATAAATTTAATTAATATTTTATCTAAATATTAAGAATAAATTAGTATTTTATTTAAAATTTAAGAGTCAAAATAAAATTTAATAAATTTTATAAACATATCACATCATCAAATAGAAAGAGTTAATTATGATGAGCAACAATCAACGATGAGATTTCATCAAATTAAAGAATCAAATTGATATTTCATTTAAAGTATACTAATTAAATTAATATTTTATTTAAAATTTAGAATTAACACGAGTCAAATTAAAATTTAACTATTTTATTAACGTATAATATCATCAAACAAACATAAATTAATAGTCAAATGACTAAAATATAGTGAACGCATAATGTAAATGAATAAAACTTAATTTTTTTCAAAATTGACAACCAAAGTAACATAGACGAAAAACAAAAGGGGTCTTCAAGATAATTTATCCTAAATATTTTAATATATGTAAATTTTTAAATTTAAAAGTTTTAATTGAATTGGTTTGATGACTAAAACTCTAACGTTAATCTACCCGAAATATATGACAAATATCATCTAATCGTTGAGGGTGGAGCCACAAAATATATATCTAATTGAAACAGTCAACAATCCTTACTTCTTATCTGTATAAAATAATAATAATAAAACATTATGAATCAATTTGATAAAATCTATCTGACTTGATTAAATATATACGAGTCAAACAAATCTTAAAACCACGTAGAAACTATAAATTATTAAACATTATCAAAAGACTATGAGTATTTAATACTTTGTAATCAATTTAACTTAATCAAAAAATAAATAAATAGTATTAGATAAAAAAGAACTTTTAAATCAAAGGATCAAATAAGAGTAAATTCCAAATAAGGTGCTATCTATTAAACTTAAATACCAAATTTAAATTATAAAATCTTAAATTTAAGAATTTGATATAAGTGAATTGTTTGATAAATATAGATTTTTAAAAGACAATACAATTAAAAAAATTAAAAAATAACCAACAACCAATTGGTCTAGTGGGATAAGACACTAGGTCCCTTAAGTAAGGTCAAGAGTTCGAATCCTAACGTTTGCGAATGGAGCAAACTGGGTTGGGAGGATCGTCCTTGCTTCTGCAGTACCCAATATAGATTAATCGATCAATAGATCAAATACCAATGATTAATTCAAAAAAATATGATAAAAATTCATCTCATATTATATCATTAAAGTAGGATAAGAGGGTGACAACGAGGCATCCTACTTGAAATATTCCTCAAAATCAAACAAATAGCAATTGTTACTATGCATCCACCAAATTGCCTCTTGCGAAGGCAAGGTGAAAGTAAACCCATAACACACGGCATATGGGACATAGCTGTTTCTACTTTTTGATTTCTTTCTACCTTTAGAGTTGAGTGGAGCCTAATTCTTATGAACAGTTTGCTGCCCAGATTGAAACTTCGCACTATTTTGGCTAACTTTAGGCTTGTAAATGAATTGAATGTTAAGCGAATTGTTCATGAAAAGTTGTGGCGGAAAGTTCGTTTTTGTTCGTTTATTTATTAAATGAACGAACATGAACAAATGGCTCGTTCGTTCATTTACGTTCGTGAACGTTCGATTACATATTCATTTATGTTCGGACAGAGGGCAAGTTGAATATGTTACAAAGATTATTAAAGTTGTTTGGATTTCAAGAAGATTATTTTGTTGAACAAATTAACTTTAAGACTTTATTATGTTCATATAGCTTATTTATGATTTATGTATGTTTTATCGTATTCGAACAAATTAACTCTAAAGTTGCAGGTTATATTAATGAATTTGTTATTCTTGTTGTTTAACTTTTTTTTTACATTCATTTTTTGTGTTCGAGTAAGTTTTTTTTTTTGTGTTTGTACTGTTCGTTTATGTTCGTTCGATCGTGTTCGTTTATGTTCGTTTATTATTTAAATGAACGAACATGAACAAGCTATATTCCTTAATGAACAAACATGAACAAAAAAAATTATTCATTTATGTTCGTATTCGTTTATTTATTAAATGAACGAACATGAACATACATATGTTCGTGTGCGTTCGATTCGTTTACAGGACTAGCTAACTTCCTATCCTATGTTTTCATGAAGTTTATCAGTTTTCCATATGGTCCAATTAAGGCAAAGAAAACCCAGGGTCATTTGGCTCGGAACAAACCGAACCTTAAAACAAGAAATGATCTAATGCGTAGAGTAATTGAATCCAACCCCTTCCGAGTAGAATTACCTTTATACACGGTCAAAACTCTTGTAACATTCCAGTAATTTGTTCACATAAGCGGTTTCATCACACTTTGGGTGTTCGTGAGTGGAACATAATGAAGCTACAAAAAAACCGTCTCCAAATAGCCACCCAAATATTCCACATACAACTGGAATTGCCATGTTTTGATCAAGGTAGATTTCAACAGCTGCTACCTGCAAAGTGAAAATAACAAAGATCTGTAGGGACTGGAACCTGGTTTACACCATATAGCAACTCTTTCTCTGGTTAATGTCTTCTTTCTATTTAGAGAGGGGAGGGGGGATTAGATTTGTTCAAAACTTTAGGAATGTCTATGCTCTACAGGTTACTACTGGGTGTCACTAAGCCTTGAAGCTTCCAACCACCATATCCTGCTACAGCAAATGCCTGAAAAGGTAAGACACTAGGTTCAGTAATGATTCACCCCTTCAAAAGTTATAACCCAAAACATCTACAATCTCAAATCTGAAAAAAAAATTATGGTGATTAAGCAGCACCGGTCAAGTTTTTGCATATTATCTCTGTACCTCTCCAAAAAGAGCATTAAGATTTAACCACAACTTTCAATACATTGAGTTTCTTTAATTAAAAAGAAATATCGGCAGGGGATCAGACATAATAAATACCATAAATCCGTTGTCATTGCTATAGAATTCAGCCACCAAATTCTCCTTTTACACGGCACCAATTCTATTAAGACATGCCATGTTAATACATCAGTTTTCATTTATGAATCTATCACAAGGGCATCAACATAGGTGCATAAAAAAACTCCAAAACAAAGGTGGTCTCAAATCTATGCACACCAGAAGCAAAAGCAACGGGCGTTGAACCTCATAAGCTTAATTATACTTGTTTAGAAGGATATCATTTAATCCAGTCCTAAACATGGTTGATCCACTTCTCCCATCTGTCTACTAATGGCTTATGATATTGTTCCCTAATTTCCAAGGTAGCATTGTTTATCCATCAAATAAATGTTTTCAAAAGTTTCACAATAGGTTTCACAGATGCTTATACAGTTATACTTCCAAGTGAATATACTTTGAAAGTGTATTGAATGTACACCCTGTAGGTCTCTACACGAACCCTTGAATAGTCTGATTTTATGTTGGTCACACATGCATACTCACGTTAGAATGTACATATCCTACATTCACAGAGTGCAAGCAACATAGGCCTTGATGTAAGGCTAACCAGACTTCTTCAATAATGGAGAAGATGGCAACCTTGTTATTTCCCGATCTAGGAGAGACACCAAATGCTAAACCTGAATTGAAAGTAATCTACACAAAAGAAGAATGATTGGTTAAGTAAATGAGTAATTAAGAAAGGAAATGGAAAGAATTGAAGTGGATAGAATAGTTATCAAAGAAGGGTTACGGAAGTGTTGTAGAATGATCCTTCAAGTGATGATGGATTCGGTCTCCAATGGTGGTGATGGACGAATGCCTTGTTGAGGATGAAGGATAATTCAAAGATGAAGAAATGGAAATTTAGAAGTTAGTGATAATATAGGCGTGATATGGTGATGGAATATGGTGATGATATAGGCGTGATAATGGTGATGGACTATGGTGATGATATAGGCATGATAATGGTGATGGAAATAGTAATGGAATGTTGATGGAGTTGGCGTGAAAGTGATGATGGAAGGTGGTAATGAATACATAGTATCTTATAAGACTAAGAAGGAACCAATGCTATAAAGGAGCAAAGACCCGTTTCTTATAAGTCGTTATAAGGGATGGTATAAGGACTTTGACCCTCTATCTATAGGAGATACAGAAGTATCAAGGTGAATGAATGACGCCACAAGCTTTAGAAAGGCTTGCTTAATCAATATAGTTCTAAAAAGAACTTGAAGAGAGAATAATCTCACAAAGGATTTTTTAATTATCAAAAAGGTTCTCTTTACAAATGAATGCCAAAGCCTATTTATAGATTTGTAAAGGCTTGGCCGAATAGATATATGCCTTTTCGGCAAAGTACATGTCTTAAAGCCTATTTATAGATTTGTAAAGGCTTGGCTGTTCATGAGGCACTCACATGGGTGGCATAGGGGCTTATGGTGTGGCTTCTTCTTGGCGTGAATTTGAGCAGCAACTTAGGCATGACTTGGCATCAAACTTGCATCTAGGTGACATGGCATCAATGGGGCAGCAACTATTTATGAAAGGTCACATTTGTGGAAGGCAACCTTTCATCATTTGAGCTACTTCCCATGTGTTTGAGCTGAAGATGAGCTGGCCATAGATGCAATACATGTCAATGAGTCTTAAGACAGTTCCTTATGAAAGGGCACTTCTCGGATTGGAAACTCTTCGCGAAAAGGTACGAATTCACAAAATTCGACCTAGACCATATTTGTAGTGCTCTATGTGGTGAAGATGATGGTGCAACTCTCCAGCTGAAAAGAAGTCTCTAGCTAGCTCAAAAGTCCAGCTCAAGTGAGCTATGAGCTCGGAGGTCAGCTGATAACTTTTCATCATTTGTTCTTCATGATCTCCCGAGTCATCTTATGGAAGTTTTCCTAGCTCATTGACTCCCATGCTAGCTTTAAATCAGCTCCCAACATGTGGCCGAACATGTACCTACAAAAGAAAGCTTTTATAAGCTAAGTAATATAAATATATAAATATGTGGTTCATAACAATAACTTCATACATTCATAATATCATCATCATAACTATAAATATAATGTATGTAAGCTATTGTCATACCTATGGTATAAAGAAAGATTAAGTTGAAGAAAATCCCCCTTTGATTATTGTGAAGGGTTGGAGATGCAAGTCCATTTTTGACGCTGAATCGGATCACATCATCCCCCATTCTTTAAAGCGATTTGTCCTCAAATCGAAGGGTGGTTTCTTTTCAACGTTCCTCCATTCCATAGTTGCTGTTTCGTCAGAAATTAGGATTCCTTCTTTAGGCTCTTGAATGAGATATGCCCATGTAATTTTGCTTTGAATGTTTAGGTCCCTTGATATCCCAAAAGTGGTGTCTCTTAATGCTCCAATAGGCATGATCATGGAATCCTCATAAGTCACGTCCATTGGTTCTTCTAAAGACACGTCCTTTGAATGAAAAATGGTGTTCTTTCGTTGCTCAATGGACATATCTTTTGTATTCCCAAAGGTCACTTCTCCTAAACATTCCTTTTGGCAAATGGTGTCTCTTGATACAACCTGCAAGTCAAAGAAACAATCTACATTTTCAAAGTTAGAATAATCATCTTTAACCTTGCATTTTGTCAATAGGCATTCTCGAATCAAGCACTTTGAGGAATAAGCACTTGTTCTTGGATCAATTTCATCCATGGTTGTTGCCTTTCCTTTCCTTATAGCCTCAACATTATGCTTCATTTTGGCTTGATCATTCTAGACTTGTTTAGGCGTTAAAGGAGTAAGGATAATCTTCTTCCCTTTATGGCTGAACGAGTATTGATTGGTAAAACAATCATGAATAGTCCTTTTGTCGTATTGCCATGGCCTCCCAAGAAGTAGATGGCTAACGTGCATAGGGACAACATCACACATAAACTCATCTTTGTATTTGCCAATGGAAAAAGGAATTATCACATGTTTGCTAACGTTGAGTTCTCCTCGTTCATTGAGCCACTGCAACTTATATGGATTCGGGTGCTTCATTATTTTCAAACCAAGTTTTTCCACCATTATTGTACTGGCCACATTAGTACAACTTCCACTATCTATAATAACAAAGCATACCTTCTCATTCATATGGCATCGGGTATGGAATATGTTTTCTCACTGTGCATTGTCTTCCGCAACTTGAAGATTCAAACTTCTTATAATTACCAAAGCTTCTCCTTGTTCAACGGGATCTGCAAGAGTGATTTCTTCATTGACTTCAATAGGTGCCTCTTGTTCTTCCTCTGATTCAGATTCTATTTCGCCATTTCCAAGTAAAAGCATAGTGTTCCGGTTAGGCATTGTGTAGATATGTGGCCCATCCCAAGACATTTAAAGCATCTAATGTCTCTTGAACATTCAGTAGTTTGCTTTCCTCGGTTGAAGTCTTTGTTTGCTTGCTGATTCTTTGAAGATTCGGCTTGTTCTTTGACAAGAGGAGGAGTTAGCTTTTTGATGTTGTTTAGACTCCATTTGGATGATGTAGGTGCAATATTGCGAGTTGTGTGTCTCCTCTTTAGTTGCCTTTCAATTTTCATTGCCATTTGCACCATCTCATCCATTTCGATGTAATGATACAATTCCAAGGTATTGGCAATTTCGGGATTAAGTCCGGCAAGGAATCTCGCCATAGTTGCTTCACGATCCTCCTCAATGTTGACTCGGATCATTGCCACTTCCATCTCTTTATAATAGTCCTCCTCACTCCTATGGCCTTGTTTCAGATTCCGTAACTTTTGAAACAAGTCACGATGATAGTGAACAGGAATGAATCATTTCCGCATAATACCTTTCATTTCAAGCCAAGTTAAGACCGGTCGTTCTCCATTCCTCCTTCGGTTCAAAGTAAGTTGATCCCACCATATTAAAGCATAGTCTATGAACTCCATGGTTGCCAATCTCACTTTCTTCATTTAGGAATAGTTGTGGCAACTAAAAACATGTTCCACTTTGATTTCCCATTCGAGATAAGCTTCAGGATCAGTTTCCCTTGAAATTGAGGAATTTTGATCTTGATATTACTCAGATTATCATCAACAATGGCACGTCTAGGGACTTGGAATGCTACTTGTTCTCCCTCGTCAAAATTTTCTTGAACTTCTTCTTCTGGAGGGGTTGTTGTCTTTTAGGAACTCTATTATTACGGCCTGGTGGTAGATCCTGGCCCTGATCTATCTTTTCATGAAGAGCATCAAACTCTTCACGAAACATTCTCATCATTTCGCCAATGAGTGCCTGTATTTGTAAGTTTGGTGTTCCTGCATTTTCTCTGGGGCTTTGAGACATGGTTAGTGCAAATAAAATGAATTGAAAACTATACCAGCACACTCACAAAACCTCATTTGATCACTCCAAAGAAAATTTCAGATTGCACTCCACTCACGTTTGTGTTTGCACTCGGGGATATGTTCCTTGGCTTTTTCTTGATCCCCCTTATGATCTCACCCTCTCGTTTGCCTTTTACCGCTCGATTCTCTCTTGTGGGTCCTTTTTACGAACTAACTCAAGATTAAGCAAGTTTCTTTAATTTGTGCGTCGGTTTAGAATGGTTAGGAATAGAAAATGGTTATGATAAGGGTAGTATAGAAAAAGGTTTAGAAAAAGATATTGTAATGAAATAAGAAAAGATGAAAGAATAAAGAAATGAAATGATAAAAAAAGAAGATAACTTACAACTCAAGTTGCAACACTTACTATCTTCCTTCACAAGAAACAACAAGGATACCACCGTCAAGTTTGTTGTTGGGGCAGATTGTAATATGCTTCTCTTTGAGTGTATTTGCAACTTTCTTTACTTTTTCTTTGCTTTTGATTTTCTTCTTTTCTTTTCTTTCTTTTGCACTCCAATTTTGTTGTAGGAGTCTTTTCTTTTTCTTTTCTTCTTTCTCGTTGCTTTTTTTTGTTGTAGCACTTTGAATGTCAATCCACCAAAGCTCTGATTACCGCTTGATGTAAGGCTAACCAGGCTTCTTCAATAATGGAGAAGATGGCAACCTTGTTATTTCCCGATCTAGGAGAGACACCAAATGCTACACCTTGAATTGAAAGTAATATGCACAAAAGAAGAATGATTGGTTAAGTAAATGAGTAATTAAGAAAGAAAATGGAAAGAATTGAAATGGATAGAATAGTTATCAAAGAAGGGCTGCGGAAGTGTTGTAGAATGATCCTTCAAGTGATGATGGATTCGGTCTCCAATGGTGGTGATGGACGAATGCCTTGTTGAGGATGAAGGATAATTCAAAGATGAAGAAATGGAAATTTAGAAGTTGGTGATAATATAGGCGTGATATGGTGATGGAATATGGTGATGATATAGGCGTGATAATGGTGATGGACTATGGTGATGATATAGGCGTGATAATGGTGATGGAAGATGGTGATGGAAATAGTAATGGAATATTGATAGAGTTGGCGTGAAAGTGATGATGGAAGGTGGTAATGAATAGATATTATCTTATAAGACTAAGAAGGAACCAATGCTATAAAGGAGCAAAGACCAGTTTCTTATAAGTCGTTATAAGGGATGGTATTAAGGACTTTGACCCTCTATCTATAGGAGATAGGAACCAGAAGTATCAAGATGATGGAATGACGCCACAAGCTTTAGAAAGGCTTGCTTAATCGATATAGTTCTAAAAAGAACTTGAAGAGAGAATAATCTCACAAAGGATTTTTTTAATTATCAAAAAGGTTCTCTTTACAAATGAATTCCAAAGCCTATTTATAGATTTGTAAAGGCTTGGCCGAATAGATATATGCCTTTTCGGCAAAGTACATGTCTTAAAACGAAAATAAATGATGCTTGGATGAGGGGAGATGTCTTTGGCCGAATGGTTCCCTTGTCTCTTTCATCTTGGCGCCAATTTGAAACAAGATGATGCTTTGGTCGAATGGTTAGAAGCCTCTTCATTTTGGCTCCCATTTCATCCACATGCATGGCACATGTGTGGGCTTTTCATGAGGCACTCACATGGGTGGCATAGGGGTTTATGGTGTGGCTTCTTCTTTGCGTGAATTTGAGCAGCAACTTAGGCATGACTTGGCATCAAACTTGCATCTAGGTGATATGGCATCAATGGGGAAACAACTATTTATGAAAGGTCACATTTGTGGAAGGCAACCTTTCATCATTTGAGCTACTTCCCATGTGTTTGAGCTGAAGATGAGCTGGCCATAGATGCAATACATGTCAATGAGTCTTAGGACAACTCCTTGTGAAAGGGCACTTCTCGGATTGGAAACTCTTCGCGAAAAGGTACGAATTCACAAAATTTGACCTAGACCATATTTATAGTGCTCTATGTAGTGAAGATGATGGTGCAACTCTCCAGCTGAAAAGAAGTCTCTAGCTAGCTCAAAAGTCCAGCTCAAGTGAGCTATGAGCTCGGAGGTCAGCTGACAACTTTTCATCTTTTGTTCTTCATGATCTCCCGAGTCATCTTATGGAAGTTTTCCTAGCTCATTGACTCCCATGCTAGCTTTAAATCAGCTCCCAACATGTGGCCGAACATGTACCTATAAAAGAAAGCTTTTATAAGCTAAGTAATATAAAATATAAATATATAAAATATATGGTTCATAACAATAACTTCATACATTCATAATATCATCATCATAACTATAAATATAATGTATGTAAGCTATTGCCATAACTATAGTATAAAGAAAGATTAAGTTGAAGAAAATCCCCCTTTGGTTATTGTGAAATGTTGGAGATGCAAGTCCATTTTTGACGCTGAATCGGATCACATCAGGCCTTATTTCATGCAATTAGGTAACAAGATCAGAAATGTCCAACTACATGTTTTTGTTGTTTAAAAAAGCATACGATAGAAAGCTTGCATGAGCCTCATCTATAACTTATCCTGTTCTCAAACAAGATTTCAATATACTATACCGTTAAATCTACAGATTCTATGAGAACACCTTGAAATATAAACTAGAATATGATTTATAGCTTATGAGAATAGTTCACAACTCCAACTTAGCACCACTCAGAAAGAACAGTTCTTGCAGATAAAAGTAAAACATATTGTAATGAAGTATCGGGGTGGTTGGATTTAGCATATGCTTAGCTTATAAAGATTATATTTTATACCTACTTCCATACAATATAAGGCAAAAATGGCACAGATACAACATGAAAATATTTTATGAAAGGAAATCGAACCTCTTCCCAAGATTTTCCAGGAGCTTCAAGCAAAGCATCATTGCAAGGCTTGAGCTCTATGGATGCACCGGCAAACATGGAGGCCGCCTCTTCCCATCCCCTATTATGCCCCATGCACCTGTATAACAAATTTAGTGTGAATTCGTGATAAATTACAAATAGAAATTTTCTCGGGAAACAAACACACAATCATACTAATCAGGTTTCAATTAGATAGTAGAAACCTAAAGCTTGAACCAGAATAACATATTGAAATAAAATAAAGACAGCAAAGGAATAATCAAAGTAGACAGCAAAGAGACACTGACATGATGGTAAGTATTTCATCACTTGAATACTGATAGATAGTTCGTTGGAGGTGTTCAGCAGTATGTCCATCCATGGTTGCAATGGAAAAAAAGCTAGGAATAAAATGGACCTCTGCTTCCAGAAAACCACGCACCTGCTCTTGCATGATTTTAAGTGTTTCTCAGGTCCGCACGGCATCGCTGGAGCAACATGAATTAACAGACTGAATTCTTTTTTTATCTTCAAAACATCGATATTAAGGTTTTCAAAATATGATACTAAGAGAAGAGAAGCTAGCTAACCTGAATAAAATAAGCTGAGGGATCCAACCCATTCTTTGGAGCTTTTGAGAAACCGCCACTGATTAGCTCACCCGAATTTATTGAGTGGACGATCGTGATCTGATGGGGTTGGGGTTTGCCAAATTGTGGCATTCACCAATTACGAAAATTAAGATAGCAAGATATGGTATAAATAAAAACAACAGGTCAGAATGTAAGCGGAAGAGATTCTTTGAAAAAAGAAGAAGCAAACCTCGTAAAGTCGGATGTTGCCAAGAACTCTTGGCATGAAGAATTAGAATGAGGCGACGATAGGTGGATTGGGCTTCCGACGCGGCTAGCTCAACCTCCGGCTCAATCATCAAACACCTCATCCTCCTCCCGCGCAAACAGATAGGGACTGGCCTTAAGCCAATGCTCAATGGCTTGGAGATTGAGAGGCAAGAGCCCACTGCTACTGTAGAACTATCATTCATTTATGATTTCAGTGAGTTTCTAGTATCTATAATCTGTTTCATATCGCTATTCCTAAATCTATTTTCTTGGAGAGAGGCTTGGTCGGGGTATTTTGTTTGGCTTGATTTTGGTCCAGTTATTCGTAAGGTAATTTAGAGATATCGAGTCGTGTCTAATCATATTTAGTTGAGGTTGAATTCAGTTACATAGCAAAAAATGAAGGGCACTATAACCATATTTAGTTGAGGTTGAATTCAGTTACATAGCGAAATATAAAGGGCACTGTATCATTGAAATCAATATTATTTCTATACTGATTGAGAAGTGGAGACCAAAGATACACACATTCCATCTTCTGTGCGGAGAGTGCACTATTACGCTGGAGGATGTTTCCATACATTCGAGACTTATGGTAGATGGAGTTGTTATTTCTGGTGTGGCAGATGCTAATTTGCATTCCTTGTGCGAGGAGTATCTTGGAAGTATCCCGTCTAATTTTAACGGTGGTCGAATATCGTTATCATGGTTAGCTACAAATTTTCAACATTTAAGTGAAGATTATTCCGAGAAACATGCTAAAATGTTTTTCCGAGCTTGCATATTACAACTTATAGGAGGGATCTTGATGTCCGATAAATCTCGTAACCAAATTCATTGTATGTGGTTGCGTCACCTCGATGATTTTCACGTTGCCGAAGGACTTAGTTGGGACTCTACAATTTTGGCATCTTTGTATAGAGATATGTGTCGAACAACTGATTATTGAAAAAAATACTATCGATGAATGTCTCATTCTTCTCTAATAGTGGGTGTGGTATCGCATGCCCTTTTTATATCCAGTCGTGAATAACTCGTTAGTCTTTCTGTTATTATTGAGGTAATTTCAATATTGAGTTCATATATAAATAAATTTTGAATATATAATGAATAATTTTTTAAAATTTAATAGATGATCATGTACAAGGAAAAATCATCGTGATATATCAGATCAATTAGAAGAAATTTGGCTACTCATTTATTAGAAGGCTGATACATATGTATGTATTTAAATTTTATTATTTACCTTTAATTATCTTTATATAATTAAAATATTATTTTGATAAGAATTATATATATTTGTTTTAGTTTGAATATGCTTCTTATTATACTCAAGAAATGAGGCTTTGTATCCCACCTCACTTTAGTGACTCATTAGATGTATGGACAGCAGTGGTCCCTGTGATATATTATGCTATTGTCGAGTGACATCCTATTGATGCCAATTTGGGTTCGTACAACACATTAATGAAGAACCTAAGAATCTCAACAATATGCATAATGTCGATAGACGAGGCAAAAAAGATGTCAACTGGCTGCTGAAGCATAGCGAGTGGATAATGATCTAGGAGGATCGAAGTGGACTCATTCCCCCTAATGAGCCGATTTATGTGGATCATTATTCGATTTTGGGTGACTATTATGAGTGGTTCAACAAGAACGGGAAGTCATTTATACTTTCCGAAGAAGCACGAGACGGGAGCATTCATCAACGTCGAGAAAAGTGTTCACCGTCTCAGCATCATCGTCCCCTGACTCATTGAAGGAAAACATACACTTTCGACTCATCCTCAGCTGTAACACCGAAACCATCACAACATCTACTATCTACACCGATTTACATTCTCAGCCCGCTACTATAAATGGGTACATCGTCTATTCTCATGGCAATGCAATTGTTTCAGATGGCACCGTAGTCGTTTTAGATGGCACTGTAGCCGGTTCAAATACCATCACAATTGGTTCAAATGCCACAATCGCAGGGTTTTATGACACCTCCTGACAGATATTATAGTAGCATGCTTATAGATCTAGCGTGGACTTCATACGTTGCTTATTTGGTGGGTGTTGATTCACCAGAGACACAAACACATCCAACTCAGTATAGATCGTAATCATCGATGTCAAAGTTTTCGTAGTTTTTACATTTTTCTATGAGCAGTGGGATGGTTAGTCATACACCTCCAGGGTTCTTATTCTATGGCGGTGCTACATCATCATCTTTCCTTTATCAACAAAATATAGTTGCTACTACTGTGATGATGTTGATGAGAGTGAAGAGGAAGAGCAAGTTATACGAAGAAACTCTCATCGAAATAGACAGTTGTCGCCCTATCGAACACATTCAAGACGCATACATTGATAGACTTGTTTAATTTGTAATGTTTTTATCTAATTTTCTTTGTTTATCAGCAAATGTATTGAATAATGGACTTCTTATTTATTTTGTTTTTTAAATGTTGTTATTATTTAATTGTTAAAATTTTAACGTTTGTATTTAATGTTTCTATTTAGCTATTTTAATTGTTTTTACTATTTAGTTTGTAATGTTTTTATTTAATTTTCACTTGAGTAGCCCATTACTTATCGATGCTCAAATGACATTAATTGAAAGTAAACAAAAATCAAATAACACAAACTGAGATTTCAAAAACTACAATTATATTGTGATGCTTAACGGTTACGTGATGATATTTTTTTCTATTGTGGCATAGGTTTTTATAATGCCCACATCTTTTGTTTTCTTTGGACGTCTCTCGAATATCAATATCATAATGAACTCGAGTGGATTTTGGACGACATGCCTCCCTCAGTAAGGGCAGATATGGTACAATCAAAAGCCAATTATGAACCTCATTTGAGTCTTTCTCATTACCTATCAGGGGAACTCAAATTCATATACCTTAAATACAGTTGTAAGTATACACAAAACGGTTATAATCTTGAAGGGTATAAGAGCAAGCTGCTATGACATGAGATCATGAATACTTCAGAGCTTGAAAAAGCTCACAGTCACACCACATGTCTTGTAGATTAACTTTGAACGAGTTAGCTTCAATCCCTTGAAGAGGGCGTGACATTTCTGTGACATGAAATAATTCATGTGTTCAAAAGAAGCTTGTTATAGACATTCTATTTGATGCAACGATCCTTTTTTGTAGATCTACAACTAATCTTGGATGATAAACATAGTCGTTTTGCATCCAAGTTTGAGTTTGTCCCCCAAGCTTAGCAAAAAGTGCTCCCAAACAAAAATACGTCATTTTAACCAAAATTGTTATTGGAAAATGGCGCCCCATTTTAAGGTCGAATTGATAGCCTCAGCCAAGTTGATTATCATATGTCCATATTATTTTTATTGTCCCCAAGTAGTGGGCCTCACGTGAGCTATTATTTTATTGTCATTAATAGACTCATCACGTCGAGGTGACATTCATTTAAAAATTAAGAAAGTAAAAATTATAGATTTAAAGAAAATGATAGACCTTGTCACCTCGAGGTTTAAAATTTCTAATCGTTTATAGTGGTTAAGGGTGAGGTTGTAATTAGGGGTTTAAGGTTTTGGTTTTTCACAAAATCCTGAATCAAAAAAATTGAAAATCAAATCATACGTTGTATAAAAATCTCAAAAATTGGCAACCCAAAATATATGTTGTGTAACACTCTAATCCAGTTTGACCCGAATATCAATGTATTACAATGTTACACGTGACTACCGAAGTAGTGACCCAAAATTTTTCTTTTAAAAAATGTTTGTAAATCACTGAAAAGTTAAATCATCCATAGCAATTTAAAATAAACGTGATAATAATATGGTTTAGAAATCGATGAGACTTCCCCAAAATATATCCAAAAGAAATATAGTAACAGTACAAATCAAAGACACAACCAATTATACAAAAAAGTCCATAAATAGTACATGCCCTCTAAAGAAGACTCGAGTATACTCTGATAGTCTCTGTTGATTTGGTCTGTTGCACTGGAAATTTTTTTGATGATAACTCCCTACGATCTACCCCTAGGAACTTGCGCACGAAAACACATTACGAACGCTAAGCTTACGAGCTAAGTGTCTCACTAATAACTGTGTTATGCTATATGTATCCATTTAAAGAGTTGACTATCGGTACAGGTTGATAACATGCAAAGACATAAGACAATGAAACCTAATATGCTAAGCTATGCCAGACATCATGGTGTGGCGGAATGATTTTGTCATCTTGGAGCTTACACCCCTCTAGCCCACCAGGTGGGAATCCACAATACTGTCATCGAAAACTTACACCCATCAACCACTCCGTTGAGTCTTGGGGTATCTGGCGCCCAGTCGACTGCTGAAGTGTCGTGAAACTGACTTGGATCCACTGACTGACGTATTCATTCTAGGAAAAACTCGGGTGTCCTGACTGTTTCCCGAGCGTCAAACAAGGCTTGTTTTATTTAACCCTAGTTGTTATTATTTTTGCTGTTCTAATATTAATTGTTGTCATCGCTTGAAGTCTTATTTATTGTTGTTCTGAGTATTT